CACACACACACACACACACACACACACACACACACACACACACACACTCCCCAACATGCTTTCTTCTCCTCTCTTGTCTTCTCTCTCTCTCTGTCTCTTTCCCTCCCTTCCTCTCTCTCCCTTTTTCCCTTTCCTCCTCCTTCCCTTTCCTTCTCCTTCCCTTCTCTCTCCCTTCCTTTCTCTTCCTCTCCCTGTTCCTCTCTTTATTTCTTTCTCTCTGTCTCTCTCGCTCTCTCTCGCTCTCTCTCCCTCTCTTTCCCTCTCCTTTCCTCCCTTTCCCCCCTCTGATTCTCTTTCTCTTTCTTTCTTTCTCAGATTCTTGTTTTCTCTCATTCTCTCTCTCTGTCTCTCTCTCTCCCTTCCTCCCTCTCTCCCTCTCCTCCTCGTTCCCTTTCCTTCTCCTTCCCTTCTCCCTCCCTTCCTTTCTCTCCCTCTCCCTGTCCCTCCCTTTATTTCTTTCTCTCTGTCTCTCTTTCTCTCGCTCTCTCTCCCTCTCCTTTCCTCCCTTTCCCCCCCCGATTCTCTTTTTATTTCTTTCTTTCTCAGATTCTTGTTTTCTCTCATTCTCTCTCTCATTTTCTCTCTGATTATCTCTCTCATTCTCTTTCTGATTCTCCCATTTTCACATTCACTCTTAGTCATGATATTTAGAAAATGCTTTGGATTTCTTTTTTAGCGGTGAGTAACCTTTTTAGGTTGTGGATCTGACCTGAACGTTTCTAGAAAGTAGCATTTACAGTAGCCTTAATTATGAGACATGGTATGTAACATGCCTAATTCAAGGACATATGAGGTTTTTGACCTGTGAACTTTAAAAAATATGTATATTTACATTTCAGTATAATTGGTTCCTTTATAATCCTCTGTTTTTCATTCAATATATTTAAAAATGTTACATGACATGCAAAAAAGTTAAAGAGCCTCTGCTAAAGAATGTCCCTAACCCCGGAGATGTCCTTCCTCCCTTTCTATTATCCAGCTTGTTCCCCACCTTGTGCATGCTTCTGGTGTGTACTCATTCACATACATATGGGTGCCCACACACATATACCTTTCTCATCAGTAGCCCCTGCTGATTCATACCTGGCTTCTTCTCAGTGTGAGTAATGGAGCATTGGATGGAGTTGTCACGCTTTTGGGAACCATGAACCCTTAGGGAAAGATCTGGATGTGACATGAAAGCCATTGACTTGTCAATTTCACATATCATCATCTCTCTCTTAGAAATGGCAAGTCGCTTGAAGATGATTCTCAATGAGATTCAGCCTCGAGACACAAATGATTATTTCAACCAGGTCAAAATGACAAAAAAACATAACAGTCTTGGTTTTGAGGACCTAACTGCTGATGTGCCAATGATTACTACGTCTGCAGAAATGAAAGGTAATGCAACTGTAGGTTAGAGATTTCATCCTGCATGAGTGCTTGTTAAGTAGACCATGATATTCAGAACATGCTCTGGTTATCATCTTTTTAGTATGGAGTTAGGCTACAGGTCTAACAAGGGACTCAGATGATACAGTGGCAAGAGAGAAGGACTTGCAATCCGGAAGACCTGGGTTCAAGTGCTGCCTCAGACTCCAGCTGTGTGTCCCTGGGCTAATCTAACCTCTTTTAGCCTCAGCTGCCTCACAGGGTCATTGTGAGGATCAGGTGAGATAACTTTGCAAACCTTTAAGTCTAACTATCATTATTAATATTATTATTACTACTATTATTATTGTTATTCTACCCAGAACATTTCTAGAAAGTAATGTTTGCATTATTCTTAATTGTGAGAATGTCCATGCAACATACTTACTTCAAGGACTTATGATTTCATTTTCCCTCATAGAATTGAAGCTCCTTGAGGGCAGGGATTGAATCATTTTTGTCTCCTTAGTACCTGGCATAGTTGGGTATTCAGGAAATGCTTGTGACTCGATTGACTGGTTGGTATGGGTACTCCCTCCACCATTACAAATTACAACCTCTTTTTGCCTTGGTAGAAAGTCTTCATGAATTGCTGTGGGTGAAAAAATTCACATCCTCTTGGTCAGCTTTTTAGGGGCTAGGCCTCTCCAAACTCAGCTAGTCTGGACCTCAGATGAGAGACTAAGTGTATTACTGCGCCAGCACTGGAAGCCTGTCCTGCCTGGTAGGCCCTGTTTTTGAGCTCCACATCTAGCCTGGTGAATGCAGGGTCACTTCTTTCCAGGGTGAGGCACTAGGAAAGATCTCTCAGGGGGGGACTCTGTAAGGTGCTTAGAAAACTCTCCCCAGTGTAGCATACAAGAACCCTTAATAAAAGAGTCTTGATTTGTGAAATCTATCTTGAAAGCCTAAAAATAAGGCTGTGATGGGAGAGTTGGCAGAGGGTTCCTGCCGGGTAAGTTGGTGAGGCACAGATGGACATCTGTTGTTGGGGAAGCATACAACTCCTGCCAGGATTGTGTTTCATGATTATCTGCTTCAGGAGTCATTAAAATCAAGCTGACTTTTAAAGGAAAGTGAACCTTTCTCCTTGGGATAGAATGGGAACTTCTGTGTTATGTCAAGGCTACAGTGTTTCAGCTCTCACTTTCCATTTAATCACTGGACAGTGTTATGTAACTTTCTGTCGTGCTGTAAAAGGATATTTAGAAGTTGAGAGTTTCTTCGGGATTTATTGGTTTTCACTTGCACTGACTAGATTAAAATGGTTGTGGGCTTGCTGCTATAGGATTCAATGGCATAGAGAAATGCTCCGAGCAACACTCGGGAGTGCCTCGGCTTGCCTCTAGGTGGGGCTGCTGCTACATCGTAGAAAATATTGTTTATCAATTTGGAATGTATCCCTGAGAAAATCGGCAAATGCAAATTGCAGTTTTCAAATTGAGGGTAGGACTGAAGTATCACTCTAATAGGATATGTCATGTGCATCTGTATGCATATGTTAGAGTGGAGATTCCTTTTGGGTACAGATGGGTTGGACTATATGGCCCTAGGGGTCCTTTCCAGCTCTCAGATTCTGTGAAATGTGATTCTGGGTTCTCTTTGAATTGATTTTGATTTCGATGTGCTTATCTTGTCTTCTTTCCAATGTAAAAGCCACCTGGACCATATTATTAGATAGTGACGTGCGATTTGTAATCCCTTGTGCTTGGCTGTGCGATTGAGAAAACTATTCTTTTCCAGAGGAAAAACTTAAGTTTGGTGATATAATTAATAAATTTTAAACTAAATAAATTCTAAACAACTAAATAAATTTGAAAAATAAGGCATTGATTTACTTAATCTGATAATTCATAAACCATTCACAATAAACTTTTTCTCAGACTTAATAATATAACAGATTATATTTGTCTCTTTGCTCTTCCATGAATCCTTCTTGCAGTCTTTTCTTTTCTGTGTACCTTTGTTCACTCTATTTTCTATTTCTTCGTCTTCCTCCCCACCCATTGCCTCCATCTTTCTGTATTGAAATTTCATCTGTGCTACCAAGCCTTAGCAGCACCAAGGCTACCTTTATGAAGTCTTCCCAAACCCATCAGCCACAAATGCTTTTGTCCTTGTCAACAGTCTCACGTATCTCTAGTGCCCTTAATCAGATTTTAATTTGTAGGTTTGTATGCATATCTTACTTCCTCAACTATGGCTCCTAAGAGCAGGCATCTTTAGGAAAAACAGTCAACAAGGATACCTGTCTTCTTTATTACTGCAGCTCTGCCCTCAGCCCTTTGATGTGAGCATAGGGGTCATTCAGTGTATGTTTCTGAATTTTATTTGTGTTGTTGTTGTTTTTAAGGTAAAGAAGGGCAGTCGTGTGATGTCACAGCTCAGGCAGTGCTGGTGTGTTGCTGGAGAAGTATGAAAGAAGTTGCTTTGCTCCTCGGCATGTTATGCCAACTTGTGCCCCTGCAGTCTGTGCCCGAAGCTCCTGATGGATTAGTGACAGTGGAGCAGGTAGGAAAGCTCTTCTTTTCTTCTTAGTGTAATTTCAAAGCAGAGCCTAAGTCCGAAATTTGCTCTCAACCTAATTTTAAAAATCATCATTGTTTTAACTTTTTCATCAATAAAATTTCATGTAGTTAATAACTAAGGGAGACTTATGATGGCTGCTTGCCTTTGTGTGTGCATTTCAGAACTATGAGTTGTAAAAAGTACATTCCTAGAACCTGATTTAGTAGTACATTAATAAAAGTACTCATCACTCTAACTTTTGTTTTCCTTCTTCATATACCAGAATTTAAGTTTTGGCAAACTTTGCCTATTCAGTAAAACTTCATATGGTCCTGAGAGTTTTGCAAAAAAAAAAAAAAAAGAAAAGAAAAAAAGAAAGTACAATATTGATTGATTGTGAATCTCATGTTTCCTGCTACATAGATAATAAAAGTGTAGTTTTTTTGGCTGACTTTAAGCTTAAGACCACAAAGTTAGTTCACCATCTGGGACTGTTCAAGTGACTTGACTGCAATGTTTACAAGAAATTAGCTTACCACAAGCATTTCATTTGGAAATATTTTGGATTTATTAGATTTCTGTTTTTAATTGATTCTCCTTTCCTTTCCATATGGTTTCAACAAAAATGATTTTCCAGCAAAGATATGCAACATGTATTTTCTGTTTAACGTTTTCCAAATGAAAATAAATATTTACTCTTTCCCAAGGTGTTACAGCATTCTAGAACAAAATAAATAATAGTATATAGTATGTGGCTGCGCTTTTTTATTCCCCTGCGCTTTTTATGGTAGTACGTGAGAAGTGCCGTGGAGATAATGACAATATTTTTATTCTCACACTGTCTCTAACTTTGGTGTTCTCATATGGTTAGCAGCTGGTTTTGTAGTGTTGCGAGGCCCTGAGATAGAGAAGTGGAGAGAATAGTATTATGCTTCCCCCCATCGTGTACCCTGGTTCCTTCCAAATCAAACAGGCATCCGTGTCCTAGTGTTACAGTCAGTTCTGGCTGAGTGGCCACAGTGCCAATGCCAACATCTTCAGGGTGGAATCTGGCCATGATTAATGATTGCCTCACAAGTGTTTGCCATCTTGCTAAGAAGTAAACATGTTCGAATGCTCCATTCTCTGCACTTCTCGTCTTTTATTTCCAGGGACTTGTAAAAACAGCCTCTCTATGTGTGCACAGATATGTGTGTTGTGTGTACCACACATGTTCTCACATGTGGGTGTGGTGACTGGGTACTGTGTTTAGTTTTTATTTAAGAGAAAGTTATTTTTCTTTCACCATAGCTGAGGAAGAAAATCTCTTCTAATATGTAATCTACCTTTCGTTAGAACCAGTTACTCATTGTGAGAAACTTACGGTCCTGTAACATTTTATGTATCCCTCAGTATTTGAATCTTTTTATGAAGAGCACATTATGGAGATACACATTTACTACAATTATGAATCAATAGATGGCCATAAAAATAGGAAGGTCATATAAATGGAACAGCAATTTCTCTTCCCCTGTTTATGGTTGGCTTCCTACATAAAATGTACCTGTTTCATCTGCATGACAGTAGCTTCTATTGGAATGGAGACTGGTCGTTTTTCTATGTTGTAGTTTGTGAGATAATCTTAGACACAGATATTTTAGAAGCTGCTTACCATTGAGTGAGGCAGTTGGAGTTCAGTGTCATCCTGCTGTCGCTGGTAAACTTTGTTTCTGAATCTATTGTCCGTTAGGTATAGATGTGCACCAGTTTATTAAACCTAATTCAGGAACAGCCAGATTGGAAATGTGGAGGGTAGAGAGCCACCAATTAATCATGTGTTCCTTTTAGATTCCTTTAGAATGTTCTACTTATGTATTTAAAATAGGATTTTATTTACAGAATTTGAATTGTCACACAACTAACTGTTCAGAATTCTGTCTGTTACATAAAGCACCATTCATCTGTATTTTGGTCACACAGATGACCCTAACTCTGGCGTGAAAATTATGATACCCTTTGAATTAAAATATGACTTCCTGTCATGATCTTAGGTAGCTTTTAAAATTGCATTGATTGGATCCTTATATTTATTTGTAGTTATTTAATGTATTTAGTAAGTTGTTTTCTATTCATTATTGGGGAAGGGAGAAGAAAAAGAAAAAAATAGTTGAAGGCATGATTTTAATGTAGTATAAGAACCCTGTAAGGACCTCCATAACTTCCCTTGGATCCAGTTCAATTCTATGCTGTTCTCTGCTCTTGAGTCCTGGCTCCCTTATCTTGTGGCCAGTCAGGCCTTGCTAGGTGCCAGCCTCATATTGTTCCCACTATCTGCTACTTTCACTCCTATTCTTGTACTGCTGAATGGAGCCAGGGAAAATCATGAAACAAAACCTAACCGGGGGGGGTCTACTCAAATTTGTGTCATATAATCTCAACTGGGTCCTCACTTCCACAAGGCAATCCCTTCACACTTTCCTAATTGATTCACTATCCCTTTCACCACATGTGGCTTTTCCAAACCCTCTTACCCTTCCTCAAATCTCCAATGGTTCCCTGTCCTCCTCCCCTCTCATCTGAGAACATTCCTTACGTTTCACTGAAACAATTGAGGTCATTCACTGAGAACCTTTACCTTCCACCTTTCATCGCTCAGATGCCTTCTGTCATTATCTTTGTCTTCACCCCTGTCTCACATAAAAAGATGGCTCTTCTTACCAGGGTGAGCCCCTCTGCTTGCAGAAGTGATCTCATTTCATCCTGTCTCCTTCTCTCATCTCCACTGTCTCATTTATCTTCACTTTATCTCTGTCTGCTTACTGCTTCCTTATTGCCAGCAAACATGCCCATCTCTCCCCCATCCTCAAAGAACCTTGAGCTAATTCATCCATCTCTGCTGCTAGCTATTGTCTCTTATTTCTCAGCGCTTTTGTTGCTAAACTCCATGAGAAGGCCATCCACCATAGGTGCCTCCTCTTTCTCTCCTCTCACTCTTATTAATTCTTTATGGTCTGGTGTCCAGCATCATCCTTAACTGAAACTGCCTTTTTCAAAGTTATAAATCATCTCTTGCCAAATCTCAGTCCTAATTCTTCTTGACTTCTCTGCAGCCTTTTATACTGTTGATCATCCTTTTTCCTGTGATAATCTCTTTTCTCCAGGTTTTTGTGACACTGCTTCTTCCTGGTTCTCCTCCTACCTATCTGATGGATCCTTCTCAGACTGCTTTGCTGGATTCTCATCTGGGCCCTGACTAGTCATGGGTGAACCAAAGGGCTCTGGCCTAGGCATTCTTCTCTTCTCCCGTTATACTATTTTACTTAGTCATCTTATTAGCTCCCCTGGATTCAGTTATCACTTTTATGGAGATGATTTATTTATTATGCAGATCTATCTATCTAAGCCTTCATTTCTTGCCTGATCTCCATTCTCAGGTCTTCAAATGGCTATTGGACTTCTATAACTGGATGTCCTGTAGATAATCTTAAACAAAATATGTCCAAAACTGAACTCATTATCTTTCCCCTAAAACCCATCCCTCTTCTTAATTTCCTTATTACTGTCAAGGGCACTACCATCCTCCCAGTCACCCAGATTTAAAATCTAGGTGTCATCCGCAGTTTCTCACTCTCTCGCACTCCACATATCCAGTCTGTTGGCCAACCCTACTCGATTTTACCTTCATAAAAGCTCTCATATATGTCCCTTTTTCTTCTAACACTGTTACTACCCTGGTGCAGGCCCTCATCACCTCGAAACTAGACTATTGCAATAGCCTGCTGGTGGGTGTCTCTGCCTCATCTCCCTGCTCTAATCTATGCTCCATTCAGCTAACAAAGAACACTTCCTAAAGCTCAGGTCTAAACACGTCAACCCCTGCTTGATAAACAATAATGGAATCCTGTTACATCTAGGGTCAAATATAAAATGCTGTTTGGTTTTTAAAGCCCTTCATAATCTAGCTCATTCCTATTTTCCTGGATGCCTCATTCTACTCCCTCATTCAGTAACAGTAGCATCTTTACTATTCCTTGTACATGGCACTCGGTCTCCTAACTCGAGGCATTTTCATTGGCTGTCTCCCATGTTTGAGCTCCCTCCTTGCCTATGCGTCCTGGCTTCCCTGGCTTTCAAGTCTCAGCTAAAATTCCACTTTCTGTCAGAAGCCTTTCCTGATCCCTCTTAATTCTAATGACTTCCTTCTGAGATTACCTCCAGTTTACCCTGTATGTATCTTGTTGGTACATAATTGTTCACATCTTGTCTCTCCCATTATAATGTGAGCTCCTTGAGGGCAAGGATTGTTTCTGTCTTTCTTTGTATCTCCAGTGCTTGGCACAGTGCCTGGCACAAAGTAAATGCTTAATAAATGGTTGTTTACTGATTTCCAAGAGGATTGGCAAATGTTTCATAGCTTCATTGACTTTTAATTTTTTTTTCAAAAGTAATTTGGGCTGCGTGCCAAGATGGCTGCCTAAACAAGAGGCAGGCCCCTCCTGTTGGATGATGGCAAAACCTGGGAGGTGGAGGTCAACTCAAGAATCTAGGGGACCCAGGACAAGAGCAAACTGGGCTGACTACCACACACAGGAGCATGGCAAGGGGCACAGCCCTACCATAAACCTCTAATTCAGGAACTAAAGCTGGAGAGATGAATAGATTTTAAAAAATACCATTTAGTATCAAAAATTATTGCAAATCTAATTCTGCTGCAGCTGCAAGCAGAGACTCAAAGTCAAAAAAAAAAAGAAATGGATTCTCTACAAGGACTATGTAAATACTTGGAAGAAATGAAGAAAAGGCTGAAAAATCAAAAGAGAACATGGTAAACTTTACTCAAAAAGTGGAATCCCTGAAAAGGAGAAAAGACCATAGAGAAACCAATGACCATTTTAATAGGGGGAGAAGAAGCAAATGTTCTGTTAGAACCTTAACGTCGTCAAAGGATATTGAAAGAATTAAATAAGAAAAACAGAGGTCCTGAGGAAAAGAGGAGAAATTGGATCTGTTGTAAGCATTTTAAG